CCCAGGCAGGAAAGCCCATGGGACTCATCTCCACTTAACTGCCAATAAGCTATACAAAAGCTCAAGGTCAGTGCCCTGAGTTCAAGCCCCAGGACTGGCCTACACATACAAGTACACACACACACACACACACACACACACACACACACGAGAAAAGAAAAGGAATACTCTTTCTTCTAATCATCCCCGTGACTCACATTATTTATAAAAGACAGAAATTATGTATTGCAATTACTTTAGGTTCCTCTTTCATGCAAGTTCTGTGGTTTGGAATAGGGGCAGCCCTGGGTGGGGGAGGGGCGTAGACAATAAAGAGGGTTGTGAAGCTTTGCAAAGCAGGGCCTGTGCGACAGGGAAAATATCTGCAACTGAACTTCTGTTAATTAGACCTCAGGGGCTACTACCTTTTAGAGAGGGGAGGCTCCAGCTCCCTGGCTATGGTATCTTCCAGGGGCACAGATGAAACAGTGGCTATAAACAAGACCTAACGAACACCACAATTTAAAAGCATCATTTCCTGCAAAGATATCAGTCCTTCTCCCCGAGGGTGACCTCAAACACTGGTCAGGCCAGTGATGGAATTTCAGGTCATAAGAAGGAGGAGCTAAGGAAGGGCATCCTGATCTCCAGAGGCCCAGCGATCTCATTAGTACATACTACACAGGGATTAGGGTGGCAATAAATAGCAGTGCCCAGGGACTCCTAAGGAGCTGAATTAGGCTTTGCCAATTACAACCCCTTTCCCTGTGGTCCCTCTCCCCTCACCCCTGCTCCCTCAGCCTGGCTTCCTAAGTGCAAGACACAAGGTCAGGAAGTGCCCCCCCCAAACACACACCGGGACCTGGCCTTTCAAGTTCCTTGGGCTCCACACGTCCAGGATCATTCTTCTCTGGGCACCCTGTCCAGTGGCCTCTCTAGACTCTGTCATTGCCCAAGACGGTTCCAGAAAGAGTGTAAAACTCAGTTACCTCATTCTGTGACCACAAGCTTTTGTCTTAACAGTTTATGTATTCTTAATCTTTTGTTCAAGATCAGCCACCAAAGTGCTCTGTCGATTTCTCTCCTTCCTTCCCCAGCTGAATTGGCAGGGCACCATTTCAGCCTTTTTATTACTAGCTGAAATGTCTCTGTTTCTGATCCCTTTATCATATCAATATGGCAAAATCTTCACCCTGAATGAGTCGGGAACCTGCAGTGGAATGCCAGCGGAGTTCTGGAAAACAACAACATAATATTAAGTAGAATGGTGTGTTTGTGGTTACCAACTCGACCCAAACCCTCACCTCTGACACTCTGGAAATTCTCTTAAATAAGGTTGTTCTTAGATTCTTACTACGTTTTTGAGTCTTCTTTGCCTTTCATGAAATGTAACCTTTCCTCTCTTGTGCAAATGTGTGAGAATGTACACGCACATGGGCAAGTGCCCATGTATGGCTGTGTGTGTGTGTACTAGTCCTGAGGCTTGAACCCAAGGCACTGTCACTCAGCTTTTTTGCTCAAGGCGAGCACTCTACCACTTGAGCAACAGCTCTACTACTGGTTCTCTTTTTGGTGGTTAATTGGAGATAAAAGTCTCACAGACTTTCCTGCCTAGGCTGGCTTCAATCATGATCTTCAGATCTCAGCTTCCAGAGTAGTTACGTTTTACAGGCATTGAGCCACCTGCATCCAGTTTCCTTTCCTCTCCTTGATGATGCTGATATCAAAGATCCATGATAAACAACCAAAGAGTGCCTACATCCATTCTATTATTTTCCTTTCTATAAAAATGGTGACATCTAGTCTCCTCTCTGAGGTCGTTTTTCTACAACCAAGCTCAAAACTTCTTCCTCTATGTCTTTATCAAACTCTGTACACCATTCGCCCATCCCAGTCTCCTCTGGTCTACTTCCTCTTGTCGAGGGCTAATTTGTCTTATGGCCTAATGTCCTGTTCCAGATACTATCTTCTCTCTGTCCTTTCTTAAGTAGCCCAATATAAATGTTTTGTGTGCCAGTACTGGGGCTTAAATTCAGGGTCTTGGAGCTGTTCCTTAATTTTTTTGCTCAATACTGATACTCTATCACTTGTGTCACAACTCCATTTCTGGATTTTTAGTGGTTAATTGGAGAAAATAGTCTGATGAACTTTCCTGTTCAGGGTGGCTTTGAACCATGATCTTCAATCTCCTGAGTAGCTTAGATTATAAGCATGATCTACCAGTGTCTGGCCATCCCAATATAATTTTTGTAGTATTCACAATTATTTCACTATAGTGTACTCTATTACTGTTATAAAGACAGAAATGACACTATTATTAGTAGTATATAATCTACATAGTATATTATAAAAACATCCTTGTATTGAAAGTAGCACAAATGTCAAATTAATATTTTCTCTTCCTAGTCATCTCCCGAACACATAATCACTATGAGATCTTGTGCCTGTATGCATGTTTAAAGGACAAGAAGAAGTTTTTCCACACAAATGGAATCATACAGCTTTACCTGTTTTGTCATATGCTGTTTTCCACGTTACACAATTTAGATATCTTTCTGTATCACTACGTATACATGTACTTCATTCTTTCTAATAACTGCATTTTGTTTTAGTGGCTTTCTAATGGTCCAACTCCTCTAACTGCTGGTGCTTAGAATAGTGCTTGACACACAGTGGTCCTCTAGGAACATATACAATAAGGGAATGCAGAAATTATACTATGTGTAAGCATATCATACTTAAGCCAGACTTTGACTGGTCAACAAGTTGGCTTAATGATGAATCGTAAGAATAATCTTCAATTTGTTTCTGTTAGAGATAAACTTAGCCTTTCTGTGGTATTTCTGGTCCTTACATCCTCTGAACTCTGTTTCTGCTTCTATATCTGTGTTTGCTATAATAGGCCTCGTGTCCTGTGCTGGTCAGCTGAGAAATAACTCTTGATTGATGGTCACAAGAAACTCAAAGATGAGTTACTTGGTGACTGTTTAGGGTGTTTGTTCACTACCAGGGCTTGAACTCAGGGCTTTTTTTTTTTTTTTTTTTGCTCAAGGCTGATACTTAAGCCATATCTCCATTTCTGACTTTTTGCTGGTCAATTGGAGATAAGAGTCTCTCACATCTGATTCTCAGATCTCACATTCTTGAGTAGCTGGGACTATAGGCTTGAGCAGCCTAGTCCCAGACTGTGTAAATCTTACTGGGAATTTCTGTATTCCCAGTGTAGTTCACCACAGAGTCTGATTCCTCTCCCTCCAGACCTATAACAGGCTTGTTCTTTCCTTGTCTCTAAAGTGATTTGCTTTTGCCAGTGAACTGTAAGGCCATTGAACCCCCTTTTACATCCTGCTTCCTTGCTTGGTCACCTGGATAAAACCCTCACACTCCCTCTGGAGCCTGTGGCACTCACATTCCAGTGAAAAGCTCTTCCACGTGTGAGAAAGGCCCTAGACACTCGCTGGTCTAACTAACTCCATTTTGTGTCCCCTTTGGCCAATTTTAACGTATTTTTTTTCTCAGCATGTCTCTTCCTGTCCCAAGAGGACAGGATCAATGAGTAAACATCTTGTGAAATTGTCCTCTTCCCAATAAATGTCTTAGCATGGCGGGACACTAGCAAAACATCCTGAGATAATGACCAACCAGAGTTCACCTTTGGCTGGAGCTACTTATTTACACATACCTCTAGCCCCTGCCCCCAAACTTCTTATTCACCCCTCAAATGTATGCCAAAGCTCCAAAGAGTGCCATTCACCAGTGCTCCTCTCTCTGTCTCTCTTTGTCTCTCTGTCTCTGTCTCTCTTCCTCTTTGTTGGTCATGGGGCTTGAACTCTGGGCCTGGGTGCTGTCCCTGGGCTATTCAGCTCAAGGTGCTTGCTCTACTACTTGAGCCACAGCACCACTTCCGGTTTTCTGGTGGTTAATTGGAGATGAGAGTCTCACAGACTTTCCTGCCCAGGCTGGCTTCAAACTGTGATCCTCAGGTCTCAGCCTCTGAGTAGCTAGGATTACAGGTATGAGCCACAGGCACCTGGCTGACCAGTGTTCTTAGTTGGCATGGAAGGATCCATGTTAGATCCAGTCACACGGGCAACCCTGGGAGTGGGGCTTTTTACCCCAAACCCCAGTTTTAGTGTCTTAAGTATCATCTGACTTCTACTTCCTGTTAAAGATGGCTTTGGGTGAATGTGGTACCACACCCTCTTCCTTTACCATCTCTGTCAGGATTTTTCCTTTTTTTCCCCTTCTCTTTTTATGTTTTGTCACTTCTGGCTTTTGAACTCAGGGACTTGTGCTTGCTTGGCTTTACTTTCTCAGCTTTGCTTGCCTGGCTGGCACTTTACTGCTTGAACCATGCCTCCAGTCCAGCTTTGTGTTGGTTATTCTGGAGATGAAATTTAGCAAACTCTTCTGCCCAACCTGGCCTTAAACTGTGGAACTCTAGATCTCAACCTCCTGAGTTTCTAGGGTTTATAGAGATAAGCCATTGGCACCTACCTCATCATACTTCTTAAATACATTTTATCATAAAGACTATGCTTACAAAAGAACAAAGAGTAAAATATATTACATGTTAGTTAAAGGCTAGATTAGCTCATCACAAAGTTATTTTTGGTAAAGAGTTGGAAGGAATATAAGTGCTCATGCCAAAAGAACAGATAACAGAACACAGGAGATACATGTGATGAAAAATTGTATAGCTATTGGGACAAAAGAAAACACACACACACACACACACACACACATGCACGCACTCACATGCACACAAAACCTGTGAGTATATTAAAGGGTATTTACCAAACTAAAAATTGGTTCCTAAGCAGCAAAGAGAGGGAAATGAGAATTTGCAACCACAAAATAAAAGAAGAGCATTGACCATAACTGATAATTTCTTACAAACTAAGTGTGTATGAAATTTTGCACCTGAGGTCCAGAGAAAATCCCAGGAACACAGTTATAGGACTTGTTGCTGTGCATCATCTCTGAAATAGTGTGAAATGGAAGAAAAACTCAACCAAGTGTAGGAAATGAACTGGTTCAAGGCATACATATTATGATAGGTTTCATAGGTATTTGGGCATTTATAGGTAGATAGGTACAGATATTGTATAACACAGATTTTCAAAAGGAAACTTAAAGGTAGATAGTTATTTCAGCCAGCTCAGCAAACCCAGAAATGTCTCATGTTAAGCAGAGAGATAACAATGTAAATTATTAATAATTCCACATTCCATCACTATGCCCATCAGCAAATTTTTCCCAATGACTTATTGCAAAAAATGATGAGGCTTAGGTAGAGTCAATAAACTGACATTTTTCTCTCTCTAGAATGGTACAGAAAAGCAAATCTGTCCTCTGTTTTCTTGCAAAAAGGAGTGCAAGTATAGTTAAGTAAGTTTCTCCTTGTCTCTGTCTTGCTTCAGTTTTTCAATTTGCAGAGAAAGTTTATGTAACTCCAGGGCCATTTTGGAGTCTCTGGGAGTTGGAAGACACTGTAAGAACTTCCTGCCTGCCAGCACCACATCACGATCTTCAGGGATTTCCTGAGAGAACAAACAAACAAACAAAAACAAGAATGATGATTTCAGAAAGCTTGCAAACTCATAAGCGGCTATGCTTCTTTCAAGACACTTCATGGCAGAAGGAAGACTGGAAGGTGAGCGATAAGCCCAGCCAGGGTGGATCAGTAGGAAACCCATTCATTTGGACTCTAAGTGTTCCCCATGTGCACTTTGAGGTATCAGATCAAGCAAAGAGGGAGACTAAGCTCAGGGGAATCCCCAAAATATCCAAAGAAACAAGTGGTGTCTATTCTGCTGACCAAGGAGAAATAAAAGTGAGTATATCGGGTATTTGAGGAAATACTGAGCTCCAGGACTAGGACATCTGTTAATAAGTTCCTACAGTACACCCAGCCTGCCCTGCTATAAAACAGAAACAGCACAGTGCCTCATGGTGTACGAACTAGTCCCTGTAAACTTGTATTCATGAATCCTAACAGACAATCCCTTCAGGCATATTAGTACTGCTCCTGTTTTTATAAAGCTGATTATCTGTAATGTGTTTTCAGATGTCATGTGACACAATATTCACTGTATCTCATTCACCTGTTCACACTTGGGCACAGGAGGGTTCCAAGATTTATTCTCTGAGCAGGAGATCTTCTGTGATCCAACCATCCGATAGCCAGGGTCACACAGGACGGTGATGGTTTCAGGGTTGACATACTGATCCTTCTCCACAGACAGCTTTCCATTGAGTATCTTTGGTTTTGCACACAGAGCTATCATCAAAACAGATCTTGCGTTAGCCAAGAGATAACTCCTGGTGATGAGCAAAGGGGACCAGCAATACTGCTGGTGTTTATTGTTTCATTCTCTCTGCAGCTGCCACTACTCCATGATCACTCTGACTATCTTACCACCATCACCACGAACTGGGCTGGTGCTTTCTGGACATGTGCTATCCACGCATGCTCTGCATGGTGCAGAGCCACTGCTGGGGTCTAGGCAGGTCACATGCATTATTTCATGCATGCCTTAGCAAACTTGTGTGGGAAGTACTGTGGACACAGTCATGGTAGTGATATCTCTCTGCTCTAGAAACCTCAGTTCTGTGGAAAAATGAGAGCACTGACAGTAACATAACACATCATGGGGGCAGGCGTCTGATAGCAAGGTCAAATCTCTCATGAGAGGTCCTGGATGCCATCAGAAACCCAGGGTGTTATGTCTTGGATATCTGGAATTAATCCATGACCAACCTCCCTCAGGCTCGAGCAGGAGTCAATGGCAAATGTGCTCTGGTTGGGAGTACCATCGGGATCTGGCCCACTTCAGAGCCACTCGGCAGCATGCAGAGTTTCCGTAGCCACCAGCAATGGATTACCTTTACACTGAGGAGCCGGAGATGACCAATATGAGAACCTGCAGGACATTGTGGCTGCTCCCACCAGAACATAGCCTTCTTTGCATTCATACTGTACCACAGTGGTGATGGACAGAAGTTCACTAATGTCCTTGTAGTGTCCATGCTCAATCTTGGGAGGGGAACTGCAACCTGGTTGGGAATAGAGATTCTTTTTTCTTCTGATGTTTCACTCATATAAATTCACCAGGCCTTCCCCATTATAACACAATACGTGAGATAAGGAACATACTAGGAAAAGATTCATTTTCCAGTTCTGAGATTCCAGGACAGATGGCCTGTGGAGAGGTAGGCCGTCATGGGAGGAGGGCATGATGGAGCCAAATGGATCCCCTCACGCCCAGAAAGTGCAAGCGTGGAGCCAGGCATACCTACCACCCCTTGCAGCATGTTCTACTTGACCCTACTTCTGATGGATGATGAAATCATCACCCAATAGCACCACCCAGAGGACGGAGCCTTTAATGCATGGGCCTAGGCAGGACAGTTCAACATCAAACTATAGAAGCTGGGGCTTAGGGAAGACTTTTATTTCTCCCAATATTTCATTGCTCACGAACTAAGATGGCAACATTCACAAAATGGAGGTATCAGATGGCTGAGTTGTAATTGGGCACGCATCTATGAATCTAGGCGAGGCAGAATTGACTCCTTGCCTTCTATAAAACTATTCTTTGATCATTTTAATATTTAAAAATGTGTAAGGATCAATACCCATATACAGAGTTATTTCGATGGTTAAAAAGAATATGAATTGAGCTAAGAGATTACTCAGGAATAGGACAGAGGAGATTAGAGAAAGAAAGGGGATGAATAACTGTGCAAAACATCACAATGGAGACACACGAGAGAAGTCCAAAGAAACTACAAAGACAGATAGGCTTTTGGGTGAGCAGGGACTAGCAGTGATCTTAGGAACAGCATAAAGTAGACTGAAAAATGTTGAAATAGATCCATGAAATATAAAAAAGAAACCTGTTAGGAACACTATTTCTTAGAGGGAAACGGATTGAAATACAGTTAAGATGCAACAATGAAATCCTCTCCCCCACCGCCATGACCACCCCATATGCCTGATTTTGAAATATGGATACTGGGTCTAACTGGTGCCATCTTGGCATCTTGGTGGATGAGAGACTTTCCAAAACTTAGAGGTGAGGCCCACCTCCATCCTCTGATGATGGGCATGCCTGAATTCCTAGAGGCAGGAGCAGGGACGTGGACAATAGGTTATGGACCTGCCAGTCCTAGACCATGAACTTGGGAGACTCTTGGAACTCTCCAGCTCCCTGTGACCCTGCCCCTTGACCATGACCCTCGTTAGGACTCTTCAGCTGCCATTTTGTACCAGGCCTTGTGTCTCCTGACTCTCCTCAGGTCACCATGGCATCCCACTTCAACTCTCCATTACAGCTGAGCAGCTTTGTTGAGATTGCTTTTCTGCTCTTTCTCTACTACCCTCATGGCTCGGGTTTTCTAACAGTGTTAAGTGTATTTGAGGCTTCAAGTTTTGGGGGGACATGCGTCTGTTCACAGTGGCCAGCTTTCTAATAAAGACTCCCCATTCGACCTCTTCTCTGTAGCTCACAATCAAATTCCCATATAACTACAAGCCAACTTTTTTTTTTTTTTGGTCAGTTGTGGGCCTGGGCGCTGTCCCTGAGCTCTTCAGCTCAAGGCAAGTACTTTACCACCCGAGCCACAGTGCCACTTTTGGTTTTCTGGTGGCTAGTTGGAGATAAGAGTCTCACTGGCTTTTCTGCCCAGGCTGGCTTTGAAACTGTGATCCTCAGATCTCAGCCTCCTGAGTAGTCAGGGTTACAGGCGTGAGCCACTGGTGCCCGGCTCTAAGCCAACTTTTTTTAAAAGTTAAAAAAAAAAGTATGTGTAGCCACTTGTTATTAAATACCAGGCAATGCTTTAAGCTTTTTTTTTTTTTGGGTCCGGTCGTGGGGTCTGAACTCTGGGCCTGGCTGTCCCTCAGCTCTTCAGCTCAAGGCTAGCGCTCTACCACTTGAGCCACAGCGCCACTTCCGGCTTTTTTCTTTTTGCTTATGTGGTGCTGAGGAATCGAACCCAGGGCCTCATGCATGCAAGGCAAGCGCTCTACCACTGAGCCATCTTCCCAGCCCCTTGCTTTAAGCTTTGACAAGTATAAATTCATGTAATCTCTCAACAACTCCATTTGGCGAATGTGAAAAGAGAAGCCTAGGGAGGTCAAACAGCATACATAAGGTCACACAGCTAGTGAAAGGCTCGAACTCGTTTTTCTTTACACAAGCCACAATCTGACTCCATTAAGAACACTTGCTACCTGGAAGGCCCATTAGATGTACATGTCAGCATCTGCAACAGAGGAATCTTAAGGAAACATTAGTGTTGGTTGTACAAATTCACAATGCTGTGTACACCCAGAATCCCAAAGCCTCATTCACTCATCAACCCAAGACTGCTGTGTGCTTTAGAATCTTCTAGAGAAAAGAATCATGGGGAAATTCTATACTTAATACTTAAATAATAAAAATGATCAAACTGCAAAAAAAACCCTTAGATTTATATAACATTTTATGACTTGACAGAGAAATTTGATACTGTAATGCATTTAGATTCTCTTTAATTTTTTCTGAATTTCTGCCAATAATTACTATTTCACATTTGCTTTGCAGATAGTAAAAACCAACAATAATTAGTAAAAATAAAATGGCACAGGCTAACACATGAAGGGAATTTTAATCCTTTCTGTATATAAATTTGTAAGAAAATGAAACATGGTAATTTATTCTTCCCTATTTAGCAGAGTAGATATGCAGGTATGTAACCAAACATTGTTCTTTCTCAATCATACTCATATACATAAAAGTATTTAAACCTTTAAAAAATGTGTTAAACCTATCAATTACTGAATTAGAAGTTAATAAAGTATTTGTTATACCATTGGTAAAATAAGTAGTTCATTAATTGTTAGTAAGTAACTGACAGTAATAAAATGACGTTATACCTCCTACAAATTAGTGCTAATGACTACAGCGCAACTATCTCTTTAAATTTCTAATGTGGAATGAATGCATTTGCCATTGAGTGGTCTACTCGATCTTCTCTGCCTTGACTATTGCCCATTCTCAGCTTTTTTGGTGCCCTGGCACTGGAAACTGCCTTACTCACCAAGGAGGCTGGCCGGGCCCAGGAGCGAGGACAGAACTCCAAGGAGGCACAGAGATGCAGAGCTGCTCCCAGGCATAATAAGCCTCATGGCCAACGATGACTGTGTACCAGCAGAAGCTGAAAGGGCATAGATCCCACCTGAAATACTCAGAGGAAAGACAGTGGATTTGGAGTGGGGTCGTCCAGAGTCAGATGTGAAGCGGTCAGTGGCAGCTGAACCCAGCGGGTGATCAGGTCAAGAGTGACCTCTTAGTCAGGAAGCAGCCCATGGGAACAGAGCAGAACAGTGGTTTCCAGAATCAATCCAATGAAAGGACACTTGACAGTCCCACTTCAGCATCAAACCCCCATGTCAGGAGTAAAAACCACGTGGAGCCCTGGGGGTGTTTGCAATGTAGCACTCATCTCTTCACTGCAAGAGTGGGACTTTCCAGAAACAGAAACAATGCATTGGTGTCTAACAAAACAAGCGTGGGGGTGGAGGGACACCCAGAAAGCAAATCTTAAATGCAGTAAAGCTGTGTCTGAGGTTCTCTTGAAGTCTGGGTATTACAATGAAAGAGAAAGTCCTTCGGAGAAGGATTTCCTACTCAATCAATGCTCTGACTTAGCTGCGATCTGAGGAATGAGGTTTGAAGCCAGCCCGGGCAGGAAAGTCCATGAGACTCTTATCTCCAATTAACCACCAAAAAGCCAGAAGTAGACCTAGGGCTCAAAGTGGTAGACTCCAGCCTTAAGCAAAAGAGCTCAGGGACAGTGTCCAGGCCCCGAGTTCAAACCCCATGACCAACAAAAAGAACAAAAAAGATGGAAAAGATTGTTTGTAGAAATTTTCAAACCTTATGGGGAAGAGAAAAAAAACACATCTGTGTGTATTTTTTTTTGAAAGCCCTCATGAAAAACGGACTGACCTTTCAAAACTGCTCAGTCAATACAGGAAGGGAATCGCCTTGTTATTCCTGACTTGGCAAGTCATCTAATGAACTACATGTTGGTGCCACTGTCATCTGCTGAGAGAGGAGGCAGAGGTACTCGAAGTCCTGGGAGGTACGGGTCAGAGTGCATGGGCCCAATGAAGAGGAAGAATCTGTAGAACTAAAAATATCCGCTTAGTGTCCAATCAGCCAGAAGGGCAGTCGCCCTGTGGTGTATCTCTGACAAAAGCAGTGGGAGGCAGTAGTGTAAGTGCATCACTGTTATGTTTCATGGGAAGTGATACCGAAAACCATGTTGATGTTTACTAAAAGAAGATGAATTTGAGGAAGTTACCTGGAACCAACCTTCCCTCCCAGATCAGCTGCAAAACAAAGGTCATAGGAGTTCAAAACACAAAGTGCTTAGCTGCCAGAAACAAACGGGATCCTTATGATGTGCTATTGGCTTTAGTACGGTCAAATTTCAACCTTCTGGGGCAGACAGGAAGCAGAAAGATTCATCATGAACATGTTGAGCTTGGTAAAGCAAATCCAAAATACAAATCCAAGTCCCTGAATATTGAGAAGAAATAATTCAAAACTTAGCTACAGTGCTACCTTTAATTACTCCTTCAAAAACAGTATTTTCTTCCCACAAATCATCTCAGGAAAAACATCAAGAACAACTGAATGAGTGAATATCAACATTAATTCAGCTCATTCATCCTGTCATGTATGGCTGACTGTGGGACATTTTTGCTCCATTAGAGTGAAAACATCACAAATAGCTAGAGGTAGATTCCCCAATGTTGGCAGCCCTAAGCTCCTCAGGGCTAAAGGCCAGGTGTTCAAACATCAGAAACTTAGAGACTTGTGACTCTAAGCTTTCAAAGCTAGAGGCTTTTGGCTCTAGATGATGTTCAGGTCAGAGGATGCCTCAAGCCCCAAAGTCTGTGTCCCCTGCACCTGACAACTAAGGCAAAACTCTCCCTGTCTGGATGCTGGGATGCTTGGATGCTGACCTTTGGATCTGGAAGTGTGGAATTTTTCCAGTGATCCTGACTCAGGGTCTCAGCTGTTAATCTCTTCTCTTCTGGAGCCTTCTCTATTCACTTCCTTTTATCTCTTGAGTACTTCCTTAGTTTTTAGTAGTCTTGGCAGGCTTGGTTCCCAGTCACCCCTCCCCCCCACCCCCAAGTCTCTTCAGCCACCTTATAGCTTCTGAGAGAATCAAGAGCTTGTAGCCCCAGGAGTCTCAGTGGCTTATAGTGCTCAGGAGCTACCTCCTGCTGCTTTTAGCTTCTTCAGCCAGGTGCCTCTGAAAGCTCAGGGCTTCTTCTACTCAGCCCACCACTCTACTTGCGATAAAGACATAACTGGACAAACAAGACCACTCAGGAGAAGCATGTCTTGGCCTAATGCAAACATAACACTCGGAGCTTGGAAGAGGAAAGAAAGCACACAGGAGAAGCCTTTTGGAATAACACAATGAGAGAAATAGCTTTCTTCTTAAACTGAAAAGGTGTGCTGCCCTCTTGTGCTTGCATTGTAATTCTACTCATCACAGCGGTGCGTCTGGGCTTGCCTTCCATTTCCACCAATCACAACACCCACTTGCAAGGCCTATGAAGTAGGTGGGTTTCATTAGGTAGCCAATGAAGAGAACACCATGCACTATTCAGGCAGGAAAAGAAGTTTATGTACCAAACTACTGCCTCTCACCGTGCATGGTGCAGAGGCCGAAAGGTGTAGCCACATTGGATGTGGATGTGACCTCAGGGCCTGGGACCCTCCTATGGTCAGATGGGAGGCATGTGACCAGAGGTGGCCCAGGATGTAACCTAGCAGGAGGGGGAGGTGGCTGCTTCCAGATGTGCCGGTTGCCTAGGTGACACATCGTGGGTGGAAACAGCCAAGAGGTAGGGAGGTGTCTGCTCTGCCTTCCCAGGGTGGACCTCATACCACGTCTGTGTTTATAATTTTTTGCACCACTATGACAGATTATGTGACAGAAACAACTTTATGGAGGATAGATATATTTCGGTTCATGGTTTCAGTTCGTGGTTGGTTGCTTGCCTCCATGTTTCTCAGCCCATTTTGAGGCAGCACTTCATGGCTGAGGAAACCAAGAAGCTATTCACTTCCTGGTGAATGGAAACAGAGAAAGAGAAAGGATCAGGGATCAAGGGTAACTTTCAGAGCATGCCTGAAAGGACTCACATTTTCCAGTGAGATTCCCACCCCGCAGTGTTTATCATCTCCCAAAGAGCACCAGCAATTTGGAACTAAGGATAGCACCAAGGGAGAGCTCACATTCAGATCCTAACAGCCAATCGCAAGCCTGGCATTGCACCAATCACAGGCTTTTTTCCCCCTGAATCACTGGGAAGGCTCCTCCGCCCCCTTTTCAGTATGAGAGGTGGTTACCAGGTGAGCAGAATCATCGAGAGTTCACAAAGGCTTGTGGCTTGTCTTGCCTGGAGTGGGAATCTTCCAAAGTGGGTATAAGTTGCCTAGAGTAGTTGTGATTGAAGCAAGGCCTCCGGAAGCTGGAGTTAGGACTTCAGCAGAAGCTGTGGTTGAAATACTCCCAGTTCTCTCACAGTTGCTATAAAGCTTGACAGTGTGCTGTCAGAGTTACTCTAGTGTCTAACAAGTTTCCAAAGAAGAGGCTGCTTATAGACAATCTCCCCGGCACCCCACCTTCAAGGCAACCAGACAGAAAAGAAGGTTCTATCACCTGCAAGTCAAATAGCCCAGTGGCTGCTTATTTAAAGGAAAACAATTGAAATGTGCTTGCAATAAAGACCTGTCATGGAATTAACATTCTGAGCAGTCTTTTCGGTGTGTAACCTCTAGCCAGATGCCACTGGGGATTACAGTCCTTCTGATCTGGCTCAATTCTATTTGGAGCTCACTTTATTCATAACCATGTTCATATTCATCGTCCTGAGTATCAACAAACTTCATTTTTATAGCTGTGTTTCCCATGGTTATAGATGGACCATGGTACTTGCAATAAAGTATAATTTGTGGATTTTCCCTTTTATGGATTGTATTTTTACTGTTAAGTCTAAAAAATTTTGCCTATCCATATCTTACATCTCAAGCTTTTCTTCTTTTCCTTTCTTGTTCTTTCTTTTCCTCCTTATATCCCTCCTTCTCCTCCTCTTCTTTCTCCTCCTTTTTTCTTCCTCTTCCTCCTCCTCTTCCTTCTGCTACTTCTGTTTCTTTTTTGACTGCTCTACAGGTTATCCAAATGTTGAAATTCATATATAGGCTTTCAAGTAGTTATGACTACAATCAATCATGGACAGGTGTGTGTGTGTGTGTGTGTGTGTGTGTGTGTGTGTGTGTGAATAATGAATAGATAAAAGTATCCACAGAAAAATAAACTGTAAAAAAGCACCAAAAGGAAAGTCTAGAACTCAAAAATTTTTCTTTTCTGTACTAGGTAAAGTTAATGAGCCAACAGAAGGAGCCAAAACAACATGAATGAAACTTCTGTCCCATGTAATTAGTGACATTTAGCCTTTTGCATATCATACATGATTGTAAAAAGACAAAATGTGGCAGCCAGTATAAATGAATTCTGTCATGAGAAAACTATTTGATGGGTGCTTAGATATTATGAATAATGAGAAAGCCTGGCATTTTCCTCCCCAAACCACAAAGGATCCACTTGGTGGGGGGAGGAGGGAGGGCAGTACTGGAAATTAAAGTCAGAACCTTGTACTTGCTAGCCAAGTGCTCTGCCACTGGAGCCACATTCTAGGTCCTTTTGCTTTTAGTTTGTTTTTCAAATAGGATCTCATGCTTTTGCCTGGGCTGGCCTAGGACTCTGATCTTCCTGGGTATTCTGCCCCCTAATTAGCTGGCTTATAGACAAGTATCACCACCAAACATAACCTTTATTTAATTTTTATTGGAGCATATTATGCATACAGAAAAGCAAAAGCTTGGGCTTGAACTTAGGACCTGGATACTGTCACTGAGCTTTTTTGCTCAAGGCTAGTGCTCTACAACTTGCGCCATAGCTCCACTGCTGGCTTTTTGCTGGTTAATGGAATATTAATATGAACATTCCTGCGTGGGCAGGCTTTAAAACACCATCCTCAAGTCTCAGCCTTCTAAGTAGCTAAGATTATAGATAGGCATGAGCCACCAGTGCCCTACTATTACAGTTTGTATTTCTATTTGTTAATACTTTCTTTATGCTCTGAAGTATCTATTTTGGAGAAAGTTTATGTGCTGCTGAGAAGACTGTGTATTCTATGGCTGATGCCAGAATATTCTGTAAAAATTTGTTGTCTGTTTTTGATCTGTAATGTCATTTAATCCTTAAATTTACTGACTTGTCTTTTGTGGAAAGTGGGGTATTCAAGTTACCACAAATACTGTTTTGGGATCTATCTGTGCTTTGGTGTCCAGTAGTGTTTTTGAAGCTGGGTACACTGATGTTTTGTGTGTATGTTAAAAATGTTTATATCCTCTTGTTGAATGGTTTCCTTTATTGCTATGAAGTGATTTTCTTCACCCTTCTCAGTGCTCTAGGTATTTTTAAATAAAAATATAGTGGACTCCTGCATGATTTGGGCTTCATTTGCTTGAAAAACCTTTTTCTATCCTTTTACAGTGAACCTGAGTTTGTCTTATGGTGATCACATGAGATGGAAGGGTTGGGAATAAGGAAGTGGCTGATGTTGATCTTTCCATTCATTTCTCCATTAGAGTTCCTTCTCTGGGACTAAACTGAGCCTGACAGACAAAAAGGATAAACTTCTTTCACAGAAGGCAACAGTTAGGATGTGGTATGAATCAAAGAGGTAGTGTGTACCGAATTCAGAGAAATGGACTTCCCTCTTATGTCACAACTGGGCAGGCTGAGGGGTGAATGGTTGACATTTAATCTGACTTCTGAGATCTGAATCACATGCATACGTGGAACTGTAGAGAAAAGGCAATCCAGGAGTACAATGGTGTGAACCTGAGTGCATACTTCCAACATCTCCACAGTAAGCAGCAGTAGTAATTTTGGTCATCTTTTGGGACCCTCCCTCACTGGAGTCTGAAATGACCACAAAGACAAAATAGCTTTGATACATGAACGTTTTACTACGGTGAATATTGGCATCCCAGATAGAGTGGTGCTGTTAAACTGAAGTAATCCAGATTAAATATAAGGCGACCAGTGAGCCAGGCAACCTTTTTCTTCCACATTTGAGAAAAATCACATTGGTGGCCCTAGAATTGGTTGTCTTGCCTTGTCTCTCTGTAGTTCCAGCAACTCCACCTCCAGAGACAGCTTATACATCTCCAGGGCCATTTTTACCTCCTCTGCACTTGCGAGGCAGTGCATGAGTTTTCTGCCCTCCAGCACTTGCTCACAGCCTTCAGGAACATCCTGAAAGAGATGTTGGGGTAGGGGGAGGGTGGCAAGAAGGCCCCACTGACCATCCAGAGAGAGAGAACAGTAGGATCTATAGTCTAGAAAAAGCAAGGTTAGGACTAAGTTCTTCCCAGGCTCAGAGGATTCTAGGAGGATTCTAACATCCCAACAGATGTTTTTTCAGATCACTGTCTAGAGGAGAGCTTTCTGGGAAATACTGTGTTTAGGGCTTGGCAGCAGTGAACTTTCTTGAGTCGTATACCACTTACCCACTCACACTTGGGCAGCTCTGGGTACCAGGTTCCATCCTCTGAGCAAGTAATATTTTGTGGACCCACCACTGAAAAGCCAGAGTCACAGTGGACAGTGAAATTTTCCATCGCGACATAGTGAGCCTTATCCATAGACAGCTTTCCATTTTCGATCTCTGGTTTTAGGCACAGAGCTGGAGGGAATATATATTTATGTAACGTTAAAGGCTAAGGAAAACATGATACTTGACTCAGTAGGAATGCTATATTTTTAATCATTTACTTCATTTTTGTGAAAATAGCATTGCCAAGTCTTTGTTATTTATTAATATATACATAATTTATTAGTATGTGTTATTAGCTATCAGATTTGGGGATTTGTGCTTTATGTGACTATCGTATGTTTAAGTTTCACAATACACATATGAAGCGAGTGCTGCTATTACTACTCTTTTACCTGTGAGAAAGTTGAGGTAGAGAGAGAGCAATGAAGGTTTTCAATAAAGGGATGGAGTGTAAATAAACAACTGTCCTTCACAGCCAAGATGATCACGTCTCTAGCTTTCAAATTTCACTTGCTCTTTCTTATTTTCCTGTGTTCAGTGGAGACAGTGGCAAATAGATAATGACTTTATTAACGTAACATTGGTGTGTGTGGATGCAATCCTAGATGTGTGTGAAAGCTAGAACCAGTTGCATCTTCTCCTGTCAGAAACACCTGATTGTGATATTTAGAATTGCTGGAGAGACCTTGAGACCTGACCTGAACACCAGAACAACTTTCCTCAAGGATGTTGTTACAGACCTACAGGTCCATGCATCAAAGTTGATGCTTGTAGAATAGTTCTGGAAATAAATGCAAGAAACTGAAGGAGGTTGAATTTTGCAATGAGGAGAAAGACACAAAGGGGAGGAGCAGGCGTATGCCTGTTGTATTTTTTTGCATGAAATAATATCTGCCTATAGTTGAAGTAAATGAAATTAAATGGCTCCGTGCTGTTTCTGGCAGGGAAGAACTTTGCCCTTTACCCTCTCCTGACAAGTTCTTCTGCTTGCTCACAGGCCGAGAAGGGAGGGGAGTTACCTTTACAAAGAGGGGCTGCTGGCGTCCACTGGGAAGAGCTGCAGGAGAGTTTTGCTGGTCCCACCAGTGTGTATCCTTCATCACATCCATAGAGAACCTCATATTTAAAGATATTGTAGGAACTAACCCGTGTGTGGTGTCCATGTGCAATGCTAGGCGGGAAATTGCAACCTTGATAACGAGAGGGGGGAAACAAGAAAGAGAGGTGGTGAGATTGTAGAAGATGGCGAATAATCACATCCTCCAAAGGAGTCATTTTTGTCCTTCTGTCTTCTCTGCTGTAAGATTTCCAGATCAAACCCTCACACAGCCTTTTGCAAGTCTCAGCTTGTGGGAGGGTAGAAAGTCTGGAGACATAAAGACTTAAGCCTTCTTTCATCCCATTGGCAAGTTCCTTCAACTTTATCTCGTTTAGGAACCATTTGTGCACGAAGGAAGATTCAGCCCCAAATCACAACTAGTGATGCCCTCCGGCAGCCTCAAATGAAATACAGAGATGTTAAGTCAGTCCAGAAATCTCCGAGTCTTTTCTCCCTGCTCGTAACTTTTCATACATCTCCACTAAGAAAATGCCACACTTGAAATATTTTAGAAGAGTGCTTGCGCATGGGAACCAGGTACGGAGCTGCCCCCGGAAATGGAAGGTTATCAGGGTCCATGAACTTTCTCATGTTAAAGAAAATAGGTCAGAGGCAATGTCAGAAAATGCCCGTGACAGTACTATAACAATGGAAGCTTCCCTCCCATGCTGAAACCAAGTAACAATTGTTTCAGGAATCTTAGAACATTTACCAACACACAAGCGTTTAGAAAACCCTTTTCTCAAAAGGAGGATATTCTTAGGGAAGGAGCACAAGGTCACAATGCCTGTGTGTCTCTGATCATATGAAATAATATTAAAATGAACCCCGTGGGCTGGGAAGTTGGCTCAGTGGTAGAGTGCTTGCCTTGCATGCATGAGGCCCTGGGTTCGATTCCTCAGCACCACATAAGCAGAAAAAAGCCGGAAGTGGCGCTGTGGCTCAAGTGGTAGAGTGCTCGCCTTGAGCTGAAGAGCTGAGGGACAGCACCCAGGCCCAGAGTTCAGGCCCCACGACCGGACCCAAAAAAAAACAAAAAAAAAAACAAAAAAAAATGAACCCCACAAAATGGAAACAAGGGTATTTTTTTCTTTGCTGCTGTTTTTGTTTTGTTTTCCTTTTTGCCTGGTTTGTTCATTTATCTGTCTTCGGGAGGGTGAAGGAGGGCACAGATATGGAGGAACAAAGGGTGGACAAATACAACAGTGGTGCTCACTAGACCCTATGTTGACAATGAACTAGCCAACTTGTGGGTGAGGACAGGAGGGAAAAACTGGGAGAGAGTGAGGGAAGGGATGACATTTTCCAAAAAGACATGCACTCATCACCTCACTTTTGCCATTCTAATCCCTCTGTACGTCACCTTTATAATAATAATAAAAATTACAAAAAAGAAATCCCTCTTCTGCCCTTTCTCAAGGATACTTCACCTTTCATAATCGATATCTTCCTATAGGAGTTGTCTGTGTAGACTAATCAGCACAGCTAGCCACTGATAAGTATGTCATGCGTATCCCCTTCTATGACCTGTGTTCACACCAGCTTTCTGCCCTACAGCTCTCTGGTACACTTCCTTCTCCGTGGGCTGCTCGAGTCCCACTTGCCATGCAGGCCTCCTCTCGCTTCCCCAGAAAATGGCCATTTATTTCTCTGATGTCCCATTGCAGTTACCTATGCCACATTTCCTAAGATCATACTACAGTCCGGATACTACGCACAACATCTGTGTTATCACGTATGTATTTTAAAATGTATAGAATATATTTACTTTTGTATTTTACTTTTCAATTCATAGCACGCATAGCATATCATATATATTTAAATTTATAGAAAGTAGCCTTTGTATTCACTGGCACACACTGTATGTGTGTATAAATGTACACAATGTGTTCATAATCTAGACAACATATGCATTTTTTCATCCAGCCATCACAGTATCATTTGAGATTGCATATTGTCATCTTTCCCACCTTTCCTAGGAGAAAACATATTCCTAGAGAGATTTAGTTTCTCACTCCAGCTGAAGCAACTATTGAGTGGCAAAGACAGAGTGAAAGGTTTAATTTACCCTGTCCTCTGCAGCTTCTGTCTAAAAGTTTCCAGCTAATATTTGACAACTATATTATCTATAGTTGAACATTTTTCTGTTTGGAGAGCAGGGAGTATATGTCAACCATCTTTGTACCTTTGCTGTTGATACTATGGGGCCAAAATAAACATTCACCTACATATAAGTCTGGGGCTTATGAATGGAATTTCTTAAACATCGAATGAAATATAGTCATTAAGAAAAGATCTTTTAAGCCGGGCATGGTGACTCACACCTGTAATCCTAGCTCAGGAGGCTGAGATCTAAGGATCACAGCTCAAGCCAGCCTGATCAAGAAAGTCTGTGAGACTCTTCTCTCCAATAAACCACTCAGAAAACCGGAAGTGGCACTATGGCCCAAGTGGTAGAGCACTAGCCTTGAGCTGAAGAGCTGAGGGACAGAGCCCAGGCCCAGAGTTCAAGCCTTAAGACTGCCAAAAAAAGAAAGAAAGAAAAAAAGAAAAGACCTCTTTACTATGCTGTTTGATTTTTTTGGTATAGTATATTGCAATATAGTCCAGGTTGGATTAAACATTATGTGCTCTAGGCTGGCCTCCACATCATGATCTTTCTGTCTCGGCACAAGAGTGCTGAGATTATAGATATGTGCTACCACATCAGACTTGAAAAATATTTTTTATGAGGGGCTGGGAAGGTGGCTCAGTGGTAGAGCACTTGCCTTGCATGCATGAGGCCCTGGGTTCGATTGCCCAGCACCACATAAGCAAACAGAAAAAAGCCGGAAGTGGCGCTGTGGCTCAAGTGGTAGAGTGCTAGCCTTGAGCTGAAGAGCTGAGGGACAGGGCCCAGGCCCAGAGTTCAGGCCCCACGACCGGACCCCAAAAAAAATATTTTTTATGAATGAATTCAGCAAGTATTTCTGTAATTTATCCTCAGAAGGCTGTCCAGCAGACAATGGACAATATCCTGGCCATACTCTTCCATTTAAAATTAAAGCAGTTACTTATATCTGCATCTATAAATACCCCTAGTATAGTTGGTCTCACAGATCTTCACAAAGCCTTTTAGTGCTTAATGGTTAAGGGCAATTATTCTCTAAATTACATACCTCGTATCATAATTACTTAATGATTTTAGTTTATGGAGTGATTTGTAATTTTACTCTAGCAAATTTATTTGTTGTGTATAATAACATAAAATTGTTTTTGTTGATGGCAAATATGTTCTAGTCAATCATTAGTCATAAAATAGAAAAAAGCAAAGCCTATAGAAGATTAACTTTTAGGCATTTAGGAATATTCATTGACATGCCAACCTTAACACAGAAATTTTTTTGTTAGATAAGTCCCTCAAGTGTTTGAAATATTTAGCTTTCTGAACAATAATAACCTATAAAGAGCTAAAATTTTTGCAAATATATTTTTAATAATGCACATACTTCCTTGTACTTCAAAATTGTACTGAATGGTAACCATTTGTGTAGCTAAAATTTAAGCATGAATTCTCCTCCATACCTTGGATTTAAACCACAAACCAATCCTCATAGCTTCTACTCACCACACAGGACTGCTGGACACCAGAGCACCGACAGGAGCCCGAGGAGCCACGGTGCTTGGAAAATTCCCTGAAATTTGCAGGCCATGATACTGAATCTCAGGAAGGACTTGGAGATTTTTTCAGTCACCCTGAGTCAGGCGAAAGTTGTGTCACTGGAAGATTAATGCCAAGGTCAAGGAACTAGGTTTTTGAGTCACTGATGGGGAGGGGCAGAATTCAACAGACCTGGTACAGGACAGAATGTAACCTGGATCATCCAATAAAGTTCCAAACTGAGGGGTGAGGGCGGGGAGTGTTCTCTGGAATTCTGTGGCTATTTACAGTCATAATCCTAACACTTTCTCATGGGTTTCTCCCCCTGGTGACAGGAGCCCCTGTTGGCTTTTTGTCCCTATTTCTATCCCAAGCTGTACAGCAGGTTTTGCTGGGAGCCTCAGCTAAGAGGCCTGTTCCATGCCACCATGTTCCAGAGTTGTCAGGTCTTCAATAACTGGTGAGAATTCCCAGTGGGAAAGTGGAAGAAACAATAATCTATGATTTTCTTCCTAGAGCCTAATTGTCTCTAAAAGCACACCAGTCTAGGCTTGTGAAGACAGAAAAATACAGTCCAAACAGTTATCCCTTCAATATTTATATTTTCTTGATGTATCTATGAACCCAAATTAATTAATACTGGGGTTATACAACTTGGGAAGTAGAGGTGAGGTTACAATATGGGTAAAGTACACAGGGAAAATGAAAATGAAGAAAGATCAAGACAACCTGAAGAAAGTTCCATGGGGTTGAATGAGAGTGAAGGTCTTTCTGTCCTAACATTCTCTGGAGGGGGTGGGTGGGTGGGAAATAACAGCAACAACAACAACAAACACTTTAACAGATGAGCTGTAGATCTGAGTTCAATAGGAACAATATGGGCTGAAGTCAGTACACGAATAACCACTGAGGTCCCCTGTTCATATTCTTTACTTTAGCTCCATGAAAGGATGGAGAAGTTTTCAAGCTGTCTCTCATGTTTTGCCACTTGGGTCCACTGTACACAGTGGTTACTGTAAGATATACAGATAGTCATCCGAAGACAAAGATGAACAGAAAACATACAGAATGACTTTTTTATTGTAAAGATGCTGTACAGAGGGGTTACATGGACATGAGTAAGGCAATGAGTACATTACTTGTAGATCATTGTTACCCCTTCCCTTGTTGTTGACCCACTATCCCTTCCATCCCTCACCTCCCATATTCCTCTCCCCCTCCCCCTGAATTTGTAAAGTCCGTTTCCAATATACTGTCCTGTGGGTATCATCGTTGCAATGGGTCATCCTGTGTCCTTGTTTCACTGTTTTGTTATTCCCCTTTCCCCTCTCCAGATTAGACAAATAAGATGCAGGGTACCAAAATCAAGTACAGTGACAACAGGGGATATCCCACAGGGAGAAGAACATACAAAGGAAACAAAAAAAATCCCATAGTACATTTAAAACAAC